TTGTGCCTGCAAAAGGAGGCAGAATATACTAACCACTCTTTCTGGTCTGAAATCACTGGGCCCTGTCCAATGCGATCGTTTTGTCTTTACTTCTACAGGTACAGTATATGGAACTCATGGGAGACGAGGGAGGCAAACTTACACCAGATACCAAACGCTAGAGTTAGAGAAGGAATTTCATTTTAACAGATACTTAACCCGAAGACGACGTATTGAGATTGCAAACGCTCTCTGCCTTACTGAACGCCAGATTAAAATATGGTTTCAAAACAGGCGGATGAAATGGAAAAAGGAAAACAAATTCATAAATTCCACACAGCCCAGCAGCGAAGAAGCAGAGGAAAAGTCAGGGGAGTAGAACCACGTTTAATAAACGCTACCAGGCCTTTCCCTAGCGCTTACTATTACTATTATTATTTACCTTGTGTTCCTTCTGCTACTAAAATCCTATAGGTTTGTCACAGTCTATTAATTCCCAAAAGGCTTGGTTAAAAGATGTACATTTGCAGTCATCTGTGACTTTCTTTAATATATGTGGAAGTCCTAGCTTTCGAGCTACAGGCACGTATGTATATAACCACCTTTCCAAAGCGTAGATGGCGTTGCTTAAAGTATTAGAGAAATGGCTCAGATTTTTAAATATTTGAGGTGAGCATCTGCGTGTGGGTGTGTGTTCCTGGCGTGCCTGTGTGAGAAGAGATAAGCGAGTGATTTTTTTTTTTTTTAATTAGAAATGTGCATATTGTAGAAATACGGGAGATTCTAGAAAATCTTGGGTTTATGTTTTTGCTAACTCCCGCTGCGTCGGGCCGTCTCGTTACGCTGTGTTTGGGAGATTATGGTCTGCAGGGGAGGGAAAAAAAAAAAGTTTTACGCATGTATAAGATATTTAAATAGCAAAAAGAAGAAAAATCCTTTTAAAAAAGCGTTGTCTAAAACCCCGGGTGTAAATTTGAGGTTAAAGCGAAGATTAATTGCAGGGAGATTTTTTAAAATGCCGCTAAACTGCCTAATCTGCACTACTAGTATGAAAGCAAAACCTCGGCGTTAAACTTTGCAGGGGAAGCGAGGGAAGAGGTTTCGAAGCAGGCGTATTTCTGTGGTTCCCGTTGAGCTTACACCGAGGTTTCGGTGAGCTCAGCTCTACACTGAAGGGGCTTTGAATTATGGACTACATTTCTTGGGACTTCGTGGGCTTGGGTCGATCTTCCTTTCTTTTATTTTCCTTTTTTTTTTTTTTTTTATTAGACGAAAAGTGTCTGTCGTATTAACTCGGGGATCTTCTTCCCCGCTTTTGTGGTATCTTAATTCACATTTGCATTTCTTAGCACTGGAAAAAAAAATAAATAGATATTAAAAAGAAAAGTAGCTGCCATAAAATGCTTCCACTTCGAGTTCTGTATAAGTAAAATAAGCGCAGCGAAGATATTGTTTAATATATACGTTATAAGTCTCTATATTATATTGTGTGTGCGTGCGTGTGCGTGTGAGGCTGTGTACAAATACACTGGTATGCGCATCAAGGCTCTTTTGTTTGGAAGGCAGCGCAGTTTGGGCTACCGCTCTCAATATTTTAAAAGCCAAATCTGGAAAAGACTAATGCAAAATGGCTACCGCCGCATTTAGAGTTGGGTTTGGGGTTTCGGTTGGGGCTTTTTGTTGGTTTTGTTGGGGTTCCCCCCCCTCCCCCCC